AGGATACAAAAATAATTCATAAAAGAAGAAATATACAATGCTAACAAAGTTTTAAAAAAATAACACTCTGATTTCTAAACTGTGAAAAAACAGGCATTGTCAAATACTACTGGTGAGATTGTGGGTTGGTATGGCTAATCTGAAAAGCAATTTAGAAATGTAAAAAAAAACCTTCAAAATATTCAGACAATACAAATTGCTCTTAAATCTATAAAAAGATACTCAACCTAACATATAAGAGAGAAATAAAAATTAAAAGTATGGTGGGGGGCCGGCTCCGTGGCTTAGCGGTTAAGTGCGCGCGCTCTGATGCTGGCGGCCCGGGTTCGGATCCCGGGCGCGCCCCAAGGCACCACTTCTCCGTCCAGCATGAGGCCGAGTCCCACGTACAGCAATTAGAAGGATGTGAACCTATGACATACAACTATCTGCTGGGGCTTTGGGGGGAAAAAATGAATAAATAAAATCTTTAAAAAAAAAAAAAAGTATGGTGGAATACCATTCTCACTTATCAGATTGGCAAAAATCCCAAAATTGGGGAGTATAAAACAATACTATTTCTATGGAGGGCAATTTAACAATATCTATCAAAATTCAAATACATTTACTCTTTGACCCAGAAAGTTTAAAAATTTTCCTATACCTGTACCTGTATGAATTGAGGTATATCGAACATATTCACTATAGCATTGTTTGTAGTGGTACAAGACCAGAAATAACTCAAATGAAGCTGCAGGAATAAAAAAAGAAAAGATCTAAAATCTTGCCATTTGTGGCATCTATCCGTTCAACACATTCCATTTCCAAAGCCGACTTAGCCAGTTTCTTAAATTTTAAAGAATTCCACACTAAAGTGATAAGATGGTTTTTTATAGCAATGCACGTGAGATATTTTCTGGCACATGCAAATAAACATAATTGTTGCTTTTTAAAAAAAGAAAAATATCTACATATGTTAATATGGAAAGATCTCCAGGAAATATTTTAAGTACAAAAAAGCAAGAACATAGGTAGTACACTACCTTCTATAAAAGGAGAAAATAAGAACATATAATTGCTTTTGCTGATATTTGAATAAAGAAATTCTGAAAGATATTCAAGCAATCCAAATGGTTACCTGCAGGGAGTGGATGGGGACTGAGAGTAAAACATCTCCGTGTATGTATATGCGTTTGCATGTGTGTGTGGTTTTGATTTTTGAACCAAGTAAATGTATTAGCTATTCAAATAATAAATTTTAAGGAATAATATTACTTTAGGATCATTGTAAGGATTAAATGAGTTTGTAAATGTACCTGATATAAAATGTCTAGCACAGTGCTTTACACATAGTTGGTGTTGCTATGTCCTGTTGCAAGTTTTTTAAAATGTCATCCAAATAGTATGATAACATAAACAAATAAAAGAATACCAAATACTTAGACTCAGTATTTTCATCTCTAGGAATCTACCTTAACAAAAATCTAAAAATTGGACCAAGATTGGGCTGGCCCCATGGCTTAGCGGTAAAGTGCGCACGCTCCGCTACCAGAAGCCTGGGTTCAGATCCCGGGTGTGCACCAACGCACCGCTTCTCCAGCCATGCTGAGGCCGCATCCCACATACAGCAATTAGAAGGATGTGCAACTATGACATACAACTATCTACTGAGGCTTTGGGGAAAAAAAAAAGGAGGAGGATTGGCAATAGATGTTAGCTCAGAGCCAGTCTTCCTCAGCAAAAAGAGGAGGATTAGCATGGATTAGCTCAGAGCTGATCTTCCTCACACACACACACAAAAAATGGGCCAAGATTTATATATAAATAATGAACTATTCAAACAACACAAAAATAGAGAAATATTCAATAAACTATAGTACATCAATATTCATAAAGCTTTTTTTTTTAATTTTATTTATTTATTTATTTTTTCCCGAACTGAACCTGGGCCACCAGCAGCGGAGCGCGCACACTTAACCGCTAAGCCACGGGGCCGGCCCTCATAAAGCATTTCTAATGACAGAGAAAATGCTCAAAATATACAACTTTATCATCTTGAAAGGGAAGACACAGGGCACTGGGGGTGTGAAGTGGGGATTGGGGGACAGAGATATATGCAGAAATAAGAGACCTAAAGTATAGCAAATAAGCTTTTATAAGGGATTGTTGGCAATTTTTATTTTCTCTTTAATTCTTTTCCATATTTTTCAAATTTTCTTTTAAGCATGTAATCCTGAAAAAGGAAAAGAAACAAAAAGAGAGAAAACAAGTTTCAGGATCAAAGAGGTGCACGTTCAAATCCCATAATATGTGCAATTTTAGACAAGTTAATTCAGCTCTTGAAGCCTCCAGATGTGTAAAATGGAGATGATATCCAAATCCCAGGGTTATTTTGAGAATCAGAGACATTACATGTATAAAGGACCTAAATAATGTCTTAAACATAGTGAACACTAAGTAGTAATTACTGTTATTCTCATACATCTTATCTGTGCAACACTCTTTTCTAGCTATGTAAAATTACACTATATTTAATCAATCTAAGATACTATTTATTTTAAGATATAAGCAGGTTTTAGAAATGTTGAAATGTGAAAAATGATTCTCGGATTTGATGAAATCAAGCGTAAGTTTAGTGAACTAAATGCTACGTTCCATACATATCTTTTTATTTAGTACAATGGAGTGCAAATTGCATTAGAAGCAAATATTAAAAATAAAAGGACTGTTCCCATAGAAAATATACAAATGGATAATAAGTACACGAAAAGATGCTCAACAGCACTAATGACTCGGGAAATGCAAATCAAAACCACAATGAGATACCAATTCACACCCATTAGGGTAGCTACTATTGAAAAAATAGAAAATAAGTGTTGGCGAAGATGTGGAGAAATTGGAACCCTTGTGCACTGCTAGTAGAAATAAAAAATGGTGCAGCCACTATGGAAACCAGTATGACAGTTTCTGAAAAAATTAAAAATAGAATTACCATATGACCCAGCAATTTCACTTCTAGGTATATACCTAAAGGAACTGAAAGCAGGAACTCGAATAGATATTTGTACAGCCGTGATCATAGCAGCACTATATTCATAATAGCCAAAAGGCAGAAGCAACCCAAGTCTCCAGTGATGGACGAATGGATGAACAAAATGTGGTATACACATACAATCGAATGTTATTCAACCTGGAAAAAGAAGGAAATTCTGACACATGCTACAAAATGGATGAACCTCGAGGACATTATGCTAAGTCAAAAAAAGCCAGTCACAAAAAGACATACTGTATAATTCCACTTATGAGGTACCCAGACTAGTCAAATTCATAGAGACAGAAAGTAGAATGGTGGCTGCCAGGGGCTAGTAGGAGGAAGAATGGAGAATTGCTGTTTAATAGCTGTAGAGCTTCAGTTTTGCAAGATGAAAACAGTTCTGGAAATTGGTTCCACAACGTGAATGTACCTAATGCTACTGAACTGCACATTTAAAAATGGTTAAAATGGTAAATTTTATGTTATGTATATTTTACCACAATAAAATAAAATTAAAGAATTGTAGGGCCGGCCCCGTGGCTTAGTGGTTAAGTGCGCGCGCTCCGCTGCTGGCGACCCGGGTTCAGATCCCGGGCGTGCACCGACCCACGCTTCTCCAGCCACGATGAGGCCGCGTCCCACATACAGCAACTAGAAGGCTGTGCAACTATGACATACAACTATCTACTGGGGCTTTGGGGGAAGAAAATCAAATAAATAAAGAATTGTAATAGTGAGGGGCTGGCCCGGTGACTTAGCAGTTAAGTGTGCACGCTCCGCTGCTGGCGGCCCGGGTTCGGATCCCGGGCGCGCACCGACGCACTGCTTCTCTGGCCATGCTGAGGCCGCGTCCCACATACAGCAACTAGAAGGATGTGCAGCTGTGACATACAACTATCTACTGGGGCTTTGGGGGGAAAAAAATAAATAAATAAAATTACAAAAAAAAAAGGATTGTAATAGTGAGAACAGATAGATCTATTTGAATAACATAATTCACTGAAAATAACTGAAATGGACTGTATAAATTCACTTAAGATAGGAAGTTTTTTGTGTCTGTGTGTGAGGAAGATTAGCCCTGAGCTAACATCCGATGCCAATCCTCCTCTTTTTGCTGAGAAAGATTGGCCCTAGGCTAAGATCCGTGCCCATCTTCCTCCACTTTATATGGGACGCTGCCACAGCAGTGCTTGACATGCAGTGCATCGGTGCGCACCCGGGATCCGAACCTGTGAACTCTGGGCCACAGAAGCGGAGTGTGTGGACTTAACTGCTACGCCACTGGGTCGGCCCCAGGAAGATTTTTTTAAAGCAATGCAATCTCCTTTAAGAATTATGTATATGATAGGGGGCCGGCCCAGTGGCATAGTGGTTAAGTTCATGCACTCCACTTCGGCAGCCCAGGGTTCACAGGTTCAAATCCCGGGCGCGAACCTACACACCACTTATCAAGCCATGCTGTGGCAGGTTTCCCACATATAAGGTAGAGGAAGATGGGCACAGATGTTAGCCCAGGGCCTATCTTCCTCAGCAAAAAGAGGAGGACTGGCAACAGATAGTAGCTCAGGGCTAATCTTCATCACACACACACACAAAAAAGAGTTATATGATAACACAAAAAAAACCCCACGAAATAAATATTAACCAAGTTTTTTTTTTTGCTTGAGGAAGATTGTCCCTGAGCTAACATCTGTGCCAATCTTCCTCTACTTTATATGTGGGATGCTGCCACAGCATGGCTTGATGAGCAATGTGTAGGTCCACGCCCAGGATCTGAACCCATGAACTCCATGCCACCGAAGCAGAGCGTGCAAACTTAACCACTACGCCACCAGACCAGCCCCCCAAGTAAGTTTTAAATTACTTTAACAAATATTGTGACTGAACCATTTAAAACCTCAACTGAAATTTAAATATTGTAAACAAAATATACTTTCAGCAATAAACTTATTATTTAACTTCATGTTTGTTTCATTTTTTTTTTTACCTGGGAGAGAGAATAGTACCAAGACAGAGGAAGATCAAACACTCTTAGCGCTGCTGTCTTCAAGGAAAACTGTGATTTGCTTACTGTTTCTTCTGACATGACTCCTCTTCTAGAAATCTTCATTAAAGGAAACATAAAAACATATCAGCCACAAAGATTTTTGGTTACTCTACCAAATGAAAGATACAAATTGAAAATTTAACTCTATCAGCTTATTTTTTCTTTTTTTGCAGTTAATTATTCATGATACTACACTTACCTGAAAATAACATTCTGAGCCAAGTTTATTTGTGCTAAAAGTTTATCAAAATCACCAAAGCAGCAAAAGAGAAAATTAGTTAGATTTAAACTTCGAATTCAGGTAGTAAATTTTCTTTAGAAAATTGCAAGTTCTATATTCTCTCTTTTCTGGTTAAATAAACATTTCAACTTTTAGATAATAATTTAAAATCTATTTCTTCCCCCTTATTTCCTTCAAATAACAGCATCCTGAAAGGATTCTGATTGGAATCATGCCTTCCGGGGCTGGAAAGGAACCTCAGAGTTCACTGAACTTCAGAACTCATGGGTTTATTCTCTTACTGTCCCATTTTAAAGATCTTCAAAGAAACGCCACATACATGCTATGACATTCTGCTAGTGTTTTAATGCCTATTTTTATTGAAACCAAAGAAAGAAAAGTCAGATGTCTACAGAGGAGGCAGCTGTCACTCAGAGAGGCCCTTTAAAGGCAGCAGAACGTTGACAGAAACATAATGGTTCAGGGTCTGGGTCAATCCTTTACAGAGCCAGAAACTCAATTTTATCAGTGTACCCAGGTGGACACACACTAAACAAATTCACATAGTACTGATGTATAGTTTACAAATTTATTCATTTATTATTAAAAAAATACACTATTTAATGAAAGAACACTTATATATGCTATCAAAACATACCCCCTCTGAAACAAAAGATTGTAGGGAGCTGAATTAATAAGGAAAAAAGGCTGCCTGGTGAGCACAAAATTAACGAGTCCTGAGGAACATTTCATCCAGGCCAAGAGAAAGCCTGAGAACTGTCTCTGATGCACAAGAGAGTAGGCTTTCCAGTAACTAGAATGTTGATGCCTACCAAATTTAATATTCTTTTCCTTGGATAGTGCTGTAAACATTACCAAACAGAAAATAAAAATTACCAACAATCCCTCTATAAAAGTTTATTTGCTATACTTTAAGTCCCTCATTTCTGCATGTATCTCTCTGCTCCCTTCTTCTAACCTCCAGCAGACTACCTCCTTCTGTTAACACTCCCCTTTTTCTTCAGACAAGTATCAAAACCACTGATTAAGGAGTAGTTTCCTTTCAAATCAAACACAGTACTACTTCTTAGGGTGGGTTACTGCTACTGACACTTAACCTTATTCCCTACTGGTGACACAAAGTGTAAACTTAATTCCCCCTCGCCCATATTCTAATTACAATTTTTAGGCTCAGCATAATTAGTTCTAATTGAAGTATTTTTATTCCAACCAACAAATTGTGATATAGACATATTATTGAGAAATACAAAGGAAACCATGAAGAAACAGTTAAACAAGTGAAAAATGGTCCTCTGGGGAATGAGACTTGGCATGTTGGGAGGTTGGGCAGTGACCTACTACTTTTCAAGTCTTTCTTTTTTTAAGTGACTACATGTATTACTTTTTAAAAATGCTACACTAAAAAAGGAAAAAAAAAGCACATTTATCCTCTCCCAAAATTGACAACTTGAGAAACATTTTTAGTAATTAGATTCTGGATCATTAAGCCATCTATACTGCATACTGCATTTAAAAAAAAAAAAATACTGAGTGTAACTCACCCAAACTGATTTTCTCCGTAACAGAGGGTTCTAAATTTTTAAGCAGAGGAGAAAGAAAATAAAACAAGCACTTCAATTTGCTGCAGGGGTTTTCTTAAAAGAATTGTGACAAATCTCCATTTTTGCCTTCTACCTACCTCATTCTCTTTCATTTAAAATCACTGAGGAAGTGGGCCAGCCCCGTGGCTTAGCGGCTAAGTGTGTGCACATCCCCTGCTGGCGGCCGGGGTTCGGATCCCGGGCGCGCACCCACACACCGCTTTGCTGGCCATGCTGAGGCCGCATCCCACATACAGCAACTAGAAGGATGTGCAACTATGACATGCAACTATCTACTGGGGCTTTGGGGGAAAAATAAATAAATAAAATTATAAAATCACTGAGGAAGTGATTCCAAACAATCATTAATAATTAACTTTTAAAAACTAATCATTTCAATTCTACCAAACATTCAAAGAAGAGTTAATACCTATCCTTCTCAAACTCTTCCAAAAAATTGAGGAGGGGGGGAAGCTCCCTAACTCATTCTACGAAGCTGACATTACCCTGATACCAAAACCAG